CTTGGCACTCACCTATTGCTTACTCCAGAGCGTTGAACTTTGCCGTTTTCAAAAACTTTCAACCGAGTCACTTGAATTGAGGCGCAGATCGAGACCAATATCTCAATAACCCTGACAGTCCCTGACGCATGCGGCATGCCGTTACTTAGGCCCCGGGCGTGACACCTCTCGACATTTTCTTCCACGTTTACTTACTTATGAGCGTTTATGACATACGGATATACATAGTGCGTCCCTGAATTTCAGTACGCTTCTTGCATTTGGATCCGTAATTGAAATCCGTAATAATTAATCGAAAACCAACAAACAGACTTTGGCTTTTTCGTGGCGCCGTCGCCGTGGCACTGGCTCTTGCTTCAAGCCCAAGTCAAGTCCTAGATATCTTCTTCCGAGGCTGGGTTGTCTCAAGGCTGTGAGAACGCAACCTTGATACTACATCGACAAGATCTATGGGCCACGATAAATTTTCAATATAGGTAGGCAATTACTTTACACATAAATGGTTACGTCCTCTCGCCACGTTGGACACGCCCATGTCTCTAAGGGTCCCTGCTCATGTCACTCTGTTTCAACGGAAACAACGGAAAACTTGTCAAAACCCACTCTATATGCCCACAATTATTACACTAGCCCACCTACGGAACGCGAACAGAACCTCGATCGCGTGCGGACGCGATCCCCACTAGTTTCTCTTTGTTGTCAATTTTGACAAATGCACTTGTCCACGTAGAGGCTAGAGCTCACCGCAGGACACTGTGACAGGAAGTTGGAACTTGGCTGGCTTCAACAAAAAAAGGTATAAAAGCCTCCCGGAAAGCCATTGGAGACTCCAGTTCTACGACTTCCCTCGTTCTACTACATCCTCTACTGTCTCACACAATGTTCGCTCGTCTCTCTGCTGCCATCCTCCTTGCTCTCCCCATCCTCGCCGCTGCGCAGGGATGCACCACTGGTACCCAGCAGTGCTGCAACAGCCTTCAGGATGTTCGTCCTTTTGTCTTTGGACTCTATGCCAAGCAACGATGCTGACTTAGTTTCTTTTTCTCTCAGGCTCAGAGCGCCAACATGGCGACCCTCCTCGGCGACATCCTCGGCGTCGCCGCACAGGGTGTGACTGGTCAAGTCGGTCGTACGTCTACCTCCCATCCGTTCTCATGTATAATCCCAAGATTGACCTCGATTTGCAGTCACTTGCTCCCCCATCACCGCCGTCGGCATTGCGGGCAATGGATGCAACCAGCAGACTGTCTGCTGCGAGAACAACAACTTCGTGAGTATTCTGTCCTCCAGTACCGCATAGCATCAGCTCATGGGGAATCGTAGAACGGTGTCGTTGCTCTCGGCTGCACTCCCATCAATGTCAACCTTTGAGTGGGGGGATTTTGTTAGGGTCTTTGTGTCGTTTACGGTTTACTTAGCTGATTGATACCCACTGGTCTAATGCATAATGTTTTTACGCTTTCTTTTGGTGTTTTCGGCCCGGGGATCATGATTTGTTTGAATTGCTTGGACTCGAACTCGAGGCCATCTATGTGGTTTTGCCTCTCACCTTCATCTATAGTCACCTAAGAAACCGACGAACCCCTAGCTGCCTCTATCGTTCGTCGTACTTCTGGAATCGTCTCTGGTTTCGGTCGACTGGGCACTTGCTAACACAGATCCCGGATCCGAAACTTTGGCGCAGTGGTCAGAGCCCTATCGAAATTCCAAGATCGAAATTCCAAGTACTCTTGAATCGGGGTCAAGTTCCATCAATTAGACACCCACATACATATCCCGATGCTGACGACCTGCCAATTATCATGCCGTCGAAGTCAATTTGCAAGCGTTGGCTCCTGAATTCCATATCCACGCTGCTTGATATTCAAGTTCCCGTTTCGTGATGAATCGTGGCGCTAACCTTTCTCGTCACGGTCAATCGCGGTTTGGTCTTGGCGGATTTCAGTCGTCTTCGTTCGCTGTAGTTCTTTTAGCAGCGTCTTACTTACGTGTCCGTGATGCATGTGTACTTTTGCTGGAAGTGAGGCAACATGCCAGTGGCACAAGGCCGTGTGGCGGCGCAAACTTGACCCGTCATCCTGTTCAACAGATAAACAGACATACGTACTGCGCCTCCTCAGTGCCTGCCACGTCCGTGACAGATGGGTCTAGTTAACTTTCCGACATGTGTAAGTAATTATCGTCTGTCACCTTCTACGCCCACATTGCGCCCACCTCCACGGACACGAACAGTCCGCCGTCCCGTTTGGCCAAGTGACCGCAGAACACCGTAAATGACCCATAAGAACGGTTTAAAAACCCACTGAGGACAGCAGGGAAAGGCAGTTCTACAACTCCCTCTCACATCGTTCTACGAACTTACTCCTTCACAATGTTCGCTCGTCTCTCCGCTGCCGTCCTACTCGCTCTCCCTCTCTTCGCCGCCGCGTGCATCACCGGAGAGCAGATGTGCTGCGACTCCGTGCAGGATGTACGCCACCTCCTATCTCTTCTTTCTTTCTTGATATTTAGAATTTCTCGTGAATTTTCTAGGCTAGCAGCGCGGGTATGGCGAACCTCCTCTTCAACGTCCTCGGCGCCGCCGCGAGCGGCGTGACAGGACAAGTCGGTGGTATGTACACATCCCATTGAATCGTAGTAGTAATATTCGGACAATGGGGCTGACGCTGCGTGTGCACTATACAGTTACCTGCTCCCCCATCACCGCCATTGGCGTCACTGGCAATGCATGCAACCAGCAGACCGTGTGCTGCGAGAACAACAACTTTGTAAGTGGGATATTCATTGTCTCAGCGGGCCCCATTTGTTAACGGCTTTGGTAGAACGGCGTCGTCGCCCTTGGGTGCTCCTCTGCCAATGCTTGAAAGGATGTTTCGGCAGTGGCGTAGATTTTGTTAGGGTTTTGTGTAGTTTGGGATATCGATCTGTTATATTTTTCAATCTAATTCGTGATTGTTCGTCTTGGTGTGCACAAGTGCGAGTGCAAGATATTGCTGAGGAGACAAGGACAGTCCTCTGGACCAAAAATTACCAGCTAATATGTGTTGTGATGACAACTGTGAGGTTCGACTTTATCGCGTCTGTTCGGATCTTTCAACGCGTCCTCAACGTCGTCAACTCCTCGAGATCAAAGGACCAAAAAAGAGAGAAAGACCACGAGACACGAGTACTGACAACTGTGAGGTTCGAACTCACGCCCTTGCGGACTGGATTTATTGCCTAATTCCAGCGCCTTAGACCACTCGGCCAAGTTGCCATGTCGATAAGGCGCTGAGGCAAGAAAAAGACCTCGGGACGAAGGGCACAACTCGACGCAATCCTTGTGTGACGTGTGACTTTGCATGTTCTGTACATAGGAAATAAAACTAAGATAACTTGACAAATCCTGACTTGGGATTTCAAGTCAGGATTTGCTGAAAGAGTTCGCATCTTTGCTCAAAAAAGAGAACCTTAAATTTTGGATGCGCGACTTGAAAAACCCTATTAAGGAAACTACTT